CCTCCCTCGGCGCCGGGCCCGCGGTGAGCGTGGTGGCGCTCTGGGCCCTGGAGCCCCGGTCGGGCGCGGAGAAGGACGCGGAGCGCGGGCTGGCGCAGGAGGGCCCAGCCGAGCAGGCCATCGGGCGCGCCCTGCGGGGCGGGGCGTGACGCGGGCCACGGCTCGGAGGAGGGAGTCGGGAGCAACGGCAGGGGTGGGGGGGGGGGGGGAAAGACGCGGGGGGGGGTGCATCGACCCCCAATCGCCCACCGATCGCTGACATGAGCCTGGTCGCCCCAACCTGCCCAGGAACGTGCGGATTCGCCATCGGGGGCCTACCGCCGTTCTATTGGCGATGTATCGCCGATTCCAGGTCGATGTTTCCCCTCCTCATGGCTATCTCCTTCAAATCGTTGCTCCTCATGGAATCAGGTCTACCGCGGGGGTTGGAAATGCTCGTCACTTCTCGTCGATTTTCCAGCCTCGGGATGCCTTCCAGCGGCTGCGCCTCGCCGAGGGCGTTCTCGGGGTGCCGGGATCGTTCTTCACTGCCGCCAGAGGGCCGAGCCGGGCCGGCCAGCGGGGGGACACGAGGGGACCGACACGGCTACGGCAGGGGCCCGACTCCACTGGGCAGAGGGATGCCGTCACGTGAGGCGAGGTTCCCCCTCCCCACCGCATCCCCCTCCTCTTCCTCCTCCATATATCCTCCTCCTCCTCCTCCTCCTCCTCCTCCTCCTCCTCCTACTCCTACTCCGCCTCCGATTCGCATCACGCGACGGATCAAAGTCGCCGATCCAAGAAACCTTCACAAGAAACCCAAGCCTGAGACCTCAGGACGTCCATCGATCTTTGGCGTGGGAGCGCCACGCTGTCCATAGCAAAACCATCGAAACCCATGAAACCCAGGGCACCCTGGAGGCAAGCAGGGTGTTTCTTGGCATGGGCCTCTACTGTATTATGCCCCACGCTCCCCCTGGGGCGACCTCAGACAAGACTCTCGAGGCGAATCCAGCTGGGGCGACGAGGGCCGCCCAGGAGGCCCACAAGAGGCGAGGTCGGGGGGACAGGGGCAGCGGAAGCGGTTTGCTCGGTCCGTCGGCGCTCGCGGCCGGCCCATGGCCCGCCGCGCCTCGCCGCGCCGGGCCCCTGCGGGGGGCCTCTGTGGCCGGACGCGCGTCTCCCCCCCGTCGTCTCTGCTGCCCCCGCGGGCGAGATCTCTGTCGGAGGCCCAGGTCAGGCGATCGCAAGCATGGATCAAGGGGGCGTGGATTCGCGACGGGGCCCGTTTCCAGGGGGAGTCGAGTGTTTCCGCCGCCGAGCGAGGCGGCACCGGCCGCATTTTGGGGAGGGCACCTCCCCCGATACATGGAGTTGGCGACCTCGCGCCAAATCCATGGATCGCTAAGCCATGCTTGCGCGCCCCCGATGCTGCCCCCGCGGGCGAGATCTCTGTCGGAGGCCTAGATCAAGCGGTTCAAAGATGGGGGGTCCTGAGGGATGGTGTCCTAAGGACAAGGTGCCTCAATCAACGTAAACCCACCCTTCGATCCCGTCCTATCCTTAGGTCCCCATCCCTCAGGACCCCATCTTCGAACCACTGATAGAGTTTGGCACCAGCACCAGTATCGGCGGTGTGCCTCCACCGTGGAAAGCGGATCCCGATCTCGGTGATGGTGGTCGTATTCGGGTGTCCTGCGTGGCCGAAGTATTGCCACCAACACCGAAAGCTCGGATCATACTCCCCTGGGTGAAGTCCCCCACGTTTGTGCTGGTGTTGGTGCCCACCTCCAAGCCTCCAACTCTGGACGTGTTTCATGGTTCCCCTCCTCCTCATCGCGAATGTGCGAGTGCACCTTAGGTAGGCTGGCAACGAAACACAGCCAGGCGGCACCGCGCTGGGCTGTCCTTTCTGTTGCGGTGTGCCCTGTCCCCCGCGAAAGTTTCGCAGGTGTTACACCCCATCAAACAGATTTTGGTGCGATGGAAATAGGCAATGCCAGTCCAGATGCTGAGAGAAGGACCACTTTGGGCTCAGGGGATCTATTTCGGGGAATCTCATCGTGACCTAGCTTCGCCGTTGCCAGAAAAGCTTTCCATCATCCCTTTGTTCGGCCGTCCATATATTTGCGCGATGATTGTAAGAAAGCAGTGCAGGCGAAAATGGACAACAGTTCCTTTCCATTTTGAGCAGGACTCACTGTCGGCGTCGCCGTTGACGTAACGTTGGCAATTCTACGCGCTTCCCGTAACCCCATCAGCCCATCCAGAAACGATGCCCAGGCGAGTTGCCTTGATCAGGGGTGTGTTGGAGCATGGAGGAGGGGGAGGAGGCGGGGGAGGGCAGAGGGAGGGAGAGATGGAAAAGGGGGAGTGAGAAGGAGGAGGAGGAGGAGGATGAGGAGGAGGAGGAGGAGGAGGAGAAGGAGGAGGAGGAGGAATAGGAGGAATAGGCGGAGGATGGTGAGGAGGGCAAGCAGAATGGCCAGAGGCCCATTGTATGTTTCTCGGAGTCCCTTCAGGTGTCTCTTGAGAGCTCCTCGAAGTCCTCCTGGGGCGTCTTGAGGGCCTCTTGGCGGTCCTGGGGGCCTCTTGGAGCGTCTGGGGTGCCTCGGGGGAGCCTCTTGGAGACATCTTGGGGTCATCTGGGCGCCTCTTGGGGCCCTCTTGGGGCACTCTTGGGAATCTTGGGGGCCATCTCGGGACCATCATGTAGGAGATCGATCAAAGAAGTGGGGGGGAGCTCAATTATGGTTGCCCCCCCCCCCAGGGAGGCCAGCAGGGGACCAGAGCCCAAGTAAAATCGACGATCTGTGCTTTCTCGCCGAGGCCTTCTTGGACGCTCCAGCGACCCACGGAATCCTCCGTCCAGGTCCAGGAGAGGGGGCAGGGGGGGGGGGTAAACCCCGCCCCGAAGGGGGAGAGGGGGTTGGACGAGGAACCTCGCTAAGCCACTCACGCCCTAAAGGGCTGGTCGGATTCGAAGCCGAATTTCGCCCGCCCAACAGAGGCCGCTGTCGGTCCTGGACAACATTTGCTGTCGGGCATCGTGCCCAGTTGTTCCGAACCTGTTGCGGGCGTGCTACAGACGGGGGGGAGTGGGAACAGCGTGGCGCAGAGGGGGGGTGAGTGGACTTCGGTCTTGGGTGTTACTCCGGGAGCCGCTCGCCCCGCTTTCCCCCCTAGGGAGCCCTCGAGCGGGCAGCTCTCTCTGGGCAGGCCTTCAGAGGCCCAGGACTGTTCGGCACCCCTGCTCACCACGCTCCCCTACTCAGCGTTGTCTAACCTATGTTTATCCCCATCGGGTCGGTGTATCTCAGCTCCACCAGCCCACCCGCCCAGGTGGGGATAGGCCCCGCGAAACCCGAAGGGAACAGCAAACATCCCCACCTGTCAGGGTACGTCGACCAGTGGGGCCGAGGCCATGCCAGTGAGTATGATGCTCGGCTTGCACGATGCTCCCCTACCCCTCCTCGGACTTATCGTCGAGTGCGTGCGACGGGTGCTCACGAGCCCCCGCTCCTGCACTGGAGCAGCGAGCGCGCGGTCTGCCTCCACGTCCTGGCCGTCTCACACCCTGCGTGCTCGCTCTGTCCAGCATCGCTCTGCATCGCCTGGCAGCCGTCCAGGGGCAGAGTCGCCAGTATTCTTTGTTTCGGCAGGCCCCGTGCGGCCAATCGCACAGGGCTCCTCGGCGGCTCCGTGGGCCGTGGGCCCGATCGCCGCTGGGGCCGTGCCCGCCCCCGGCGCCTGGTGTCGAAGGCCGGGCGCGTGACGCCGCGCCGGCGGCCCCCTTTGAAGCCCCGTGAGGATCGGGGATGGACATACCCCCCTTTAGCAAAACGTGGTTTAGTGAAAACGACCTGAGGCCCGAACCTGGCGGGCGCAAGCCTGGAAAATAACGGCCACGGCGCCATCTCGAGAACCGAAAACGGACAATTCACTAATCGACGTGTCACTGTTGGGGGTTCTGTCCGAAGCCTTCGACTCGGCGGCAGATGGCGACGCGGGTGCTGGCGTGCTGGCAGGTAGAGCCTTGTCCGCAGCCCCGCCGACCGCCTCCTCGGCCAGAAGCGCGGGGAAACACGCCTCGACCTCCAGGCACGCTTCCGTTCCGGAGGGGGCGCAGGGCTCGGCAGGCCCTTGCTCTGGAGCGGCGCCGGGGCGCCCCGGCCCAGTCTGCTGCGCAGCGGGGCTCCGCTCCCTGCCTGACGCTCCGAGCACCACGGCTCTGGCTGCAGGCTGCAGCCCAGGAGTATAGCCTGAAGTCGGGCCTGTCCCTCTACAGGGGGAAGATTCAAAGATAGTCAATTATCCTAGTGCGACGCTACCTAGGAGTTGGAGCCCCTACGAAAGCAGCATTAGTAGTAACAGTAAAGCTAAGCTAAAGCTAAGCTAAAGCTTCGCTAAAGCTATGCTAAAGCTAAGCTGGAGCAAAGCTAAAACTAAGCTAAAGCTAAGCTAAAGCTAAGCTAAAGCTAAGCTGAATATAAACTGAATCTAAGCTGAAGCTAAGGTAACGCTAAGCTAAAGCTAAGCTAAATCTAAGCTGAAGCTAAGGTAACGCTAAGCTAAAGCTAAGCTAAAGCTAAGCTACAGCTAAGCTACATATAAGCTACAGCTAAGCTAAAGCTAAGCCAGATCTAATCTGAAGCTAAGCTAACTCTAAGCTACAGTTATGCTAACGCTCAGCTAACTCTAGGCTGAAGCTAAGCTAACGCTAAACTAAATCTAATATAAAACTAAGCTAAAGCTAAGCTAACGCTAAGATAAAGCTAAGCTAAAGCTAAGCTACAGCTAAGCTAAAGCTAAGCTACAGCTAAGCTACAGCTAAGCTAAAGCTAAGCTACAGCTAAGCTACAGCTAAGCTAAATCTAAGCTACATCTAAGCTAAAGCTAAGGCTAAGGCTAAAGCTAAAGCTAAAGCTCCCAGGGGACTGGAGGAACCGCGGGGTGGATACTGGGGGAACCGCCCGGGGCGGGGGCCACTGCCGGGCCCTTTGAGCACACCGAGTAAGAAC